TACCATTTTCCACTTATCATGCACTATGTCAGTTTGTAGTGATATATTGAAAAAATTAGCCATAGGTTTGCTAAGCTTCTCTTTACATTCCTTTAACACCCTTGCAAACATTTCATCAGGGCCTGGGGATTTGTTAGGTTTTAATTTCTCTATTTGTCTGAGGACCATGTCACAAGTTACCACAATCGTGCATAGTTTATTATCGTCCTGTGCTACATAATCTATTATTTCAGGAATTTCGCTAGTATTTTTCCGAGTAAAAACTGAGAGAAAGTATGTACTGAAAATTTCACACATATCCTTATCACTGTCAGTGATCTGACCAGAGTTACTCTTAAGTGGGCCTATCTTGTCCCTAATCTTACTTCTGTATACCAGAAAGAACCCTTTTTGGTTAGTCTTCGAATTCCTTGCGTCCTTAGCCTCATAATCCCTTTTTGCTTTTCTTATTCCTTTCTTTATTTATCTTTAATTGAATATATTGACTTCTTAACTGCTCATCCCCTCTTTTGATACGCCTATATATCCCTCTCTTTTGACCAATGAGATGTTTTAATCTATTGTTCATCCATTTGGGATCATTTTTATTAGATCTAATTTTCCTAGTAGGAACAAAAGTTGTCTGGGCAGCTAGAACTATGCTCTGAAAAACGTCATATTGGCAACCAAGATCACCTACCTGACCCATAGTCAGGACATCCCAATTTAGCCCACTCAGGTAATTTTTCAGTCCCATGAAATCGGCCAAGCGATAGCCTGGGACAGAGATTTGATTGCAGTTATCTAGGTAATTCCATGATATATTGAAACTAAGTGATTTGTGATCACTTTGGCCCAAGCTCATCATTAACCTCAAGATTATTAGTGAATCTATGTTGGCATGAACCAAGTCAAGCAGATTATTTCCTCTAGTTGATTCTGTCACAAACTGTTCTAAAGAGCAATCCTGAACCGCATCAAGAAAGTCACTAGACACAAGATTTCCTGTCATATTGTTCCAATCAATTTGTCTAAAGTTAAAATCTCCATTAACACAACATTTTCAAAGGGACCACGCAACATTAAATATTCGACTTCTTTATTTGTCAACCGATTACGTTCATTTTTGGTGTACTATTAGAAGCTTATATCAAATATGCTTTGCTGAAGTTTCAAAAATATCGGCCAAAAAAGAAATGAATATGTAAAATTTACAGGGCCTATACATCACACCCAAAATTAATTTGTCACGACCCTCGAGAAACTGTAGCCAAACAGATTCTGTGTTCGGTGTTTCTAATCTTATATCATGTCTAAGACAACAATTTAAATTATCTCTGACATACATCGCCACTCCACCACTCTTCCTGTTGATCCTATGAGTATAGAATAGTTTATAACCCTGTATGTTGCATTCAGAAGGCATTTCTCTATCTTTCAGGTTGAACCAGGTCTCTGTTATACCAATAATATCTACATTACCTGCGCTTGCAAGTAATCTTAGCTCATCTATCATATTTCTTAGACTCCTACTGTTTGTATAGTAAACCTTAAGGGAGGTAGTCACTCGTTGCCCACTTTGTTTGTTGATCAAGTGATTTGCCTCTGCTAGAAACTTTATTTTGAATATTGTCTTTTAAACATATCCCTGATGTATCCTGGTAATATCTGCTGTTTCCAACAATAATACTACAGCCTGATTGTTTCCCACAAACACTCATACCTCTATATTCTATCAGTTGAAAGTCCTAGAAAAGTCATCAATTACCCCTCAATCGAATTGGCTTATGCAATCTCACCACCCCCAGAAAGATGAACCCTATCACTTGCATACATATCACGTTTGCCATAAAATATGTCCCAGTTATCAATGAATGGGACTGCAAGTTCCTTGCAGTACTTGTCTAGCAGCAATTTATACCAATTGCCCTAAACATCCATTCATTCCCCACTCCCTTTCTAGGCAAGATGCTACATGTGAAAGGGATTCCTCCCTTAGACCTGACTACTTCTGTGGCTGATCTGTACTTATTTAGCAGCTCCTGTCTCCTGCCCTTCTCAATGTCATTACCCCCAGCACCAAGACAGATAATGGGCTTGTTCCCATTACCTGACATAATATTATCCAACCTGCTGACTATGTCACCAACACCAGGTCCAGGAAGACACACTCTCTGTCTGACCTTTCTGTCTCTGTTACAAAAAGCACGGCCCATATATCTTACCTGAGAATCTCCTACAATTGAAGCATTCTTACCTTGATGAGCAGGGAAATCAGTTGTACCTTTAACCTCACTAACCACAGAAGTGCACTCGTCCTGGAGAACAGAGAATCGATTTCCTACCTTCACATCTTCTCTGTTATCCCTCCTTATCTTCCTTCTTCCTGAACTGTGAACCACTTGCCACTTAAAGCAGCTTCCACTCTCACTGCTGGTAACCATTTCCTCCTTTCAGGCTAAATGCTTCTCACACTCACTCCCAAACACATCTAGGCGAAGCTTCAGCTTCCTATTTTCCTCCTGAAGAAGTAGAACCTCCTTCTTCAACACCTGAACCTGAGATTGCAAAACACTACAACAAACCATGGTGCTTGGTAACACCCCACGCTAACTCCCAGAGAGCTTAGGACAGGTATGACCACAAATGACCACTGACCTCAGCATACTACTACTACATACTACTATATAGATCATTTCCCTCAAATTAGGTCAGTTTTGTCCCAGGACGCGACCCACAGCAGTCCACTAACACCCAGGTACCCATTAGTCTTAAGTTCAATACCACCAAGATCTCAGCTACAACTAACACTGCTAAGTTCAATATTGTAGAAAATTACATTTACCTGGATGAATCTCATTAGATACATACCAGTAAATGGTAACAAAGATAATTGTTATTTATCAAAGTTACAGAGACAAGTAGGAATTTTTGGGACACCTAGGTCGCAAAAAATGTCCCCCTTCGATACCTACCATAATCTATCTCTCCACAAGTTGCTCTAAACCTATATTAATTGCAAATGAAGTGTACATCACCAGGAATTCTGGTAAAATTTAATATAAATTTGTGGACTGTATATTAAAATTAATGAATGATTATATATACACATTTATGTAACAGAAGGAGAATTTATACTCATAACACTCACCAATTAGTCTGTAGATTACTGTGTGTCATGTACAGAACCCCCCTCTACCCAAATTTATGATGGTAATACTGGCCAGAATTTACAAACATAATTTAGATAGCTTATCTGAGGTTCCTGGAGATGTCCTGTCTATCTGCTGCTCAAATTATGCAGGACTGCACATCCAACAATTTCGGCTCCTATTTGAGAGGTTTTAAGCCCAATATAACCCCTAGAGCGACGAAAATTAAGCACATTTCATTAGAGTGCCTGTACCACATTCAAGAAAAAAAAAAAAACAATGGCGACTCTCCCTCCAGCGACGCTCACCCATCGCTAGTTCTTTATTTATTTACAAATTAAATTTTATTACTTACAATATAGACCATCAATTTACATATAAAATACACTGTATTTTTGGAGAATGTACAGTATTTTCCACAAATACCACCAAGCTCTCAGCTAAAACTAACACTCCTAAGCTCAATACCACCAAGCTCTCAGATACAACTAACACTCCTAAGCTCAATACCACCAAGCTCTCAGATACAACTAACACTCCTAAGCTCAATACCACCAAGCTCTCAGCTAAAACTAACACTCCTAAGCTCAATACCACCAAGCTCTCAGCTAAAACTAACACTCCTAGCTCAATACACCAAGCTCTCAGATACAACTAACACTCCTAAGCTCAATACCACCAAGCTCTCAGCTAAAACTAACACTCCTAAGCTCAATACCACCAAGCTCTCAGATACAACTAACACTCCTAAGCTCAACACCACCAAGTTCTCAGATAAACTAACACTCCTAAGCTCAATACCCACCAAGTTCTCAGATACAAACTAACACTCCTAAGCTCAATACCACCAAGCTCTCAGCTAAAACTAACACTCCTAAGCTCAATACCACCAAGCTCTCAGATACAACAACACTCCTAAGCTCAATACCACCAAGCTCTCAGATACAACTAACACTCTAAGCTCAATACCACCAAGTTCAGATACACTAACACTCCTAATTCAATACCACCAAGTTCTCAGATACAACTAACACTCCAAAGTTCAATACCACCAAGTTCTCAGATACAACTAACACTCCTAAGTTCAATACCACCAAGTTCTCAGATACAACTAACACTCCTAAGCTCAATACCACCAAGCTCTCAGCTAAAACTAACACTCCTAAGCTCAATACCACCAAGCTCTCAGCTAAAACTAACACTCCTAAGCTCAATACCACCAAGCTCTCAGATACAACTAACACTCCTAGCTTCAATACATTGTTTCTTAGTTGTATCTCCCATAAATTATGTGGATGAAATAATTCAGAAATATGACTGTCAACATCATCCCCATAATGTACCATCATCATTATTAACTCTTGCTTTTTATGAGAATACAATAAATAGTTGGCTATTTTTTTCAATTTGTTTAAAATAAAATCAGTAAATAACTTTAAAAATATGAATATAAATAAAGTTCTTGTTGTAAATAAACATTGTAAAAATCAATAAAACGTAATAAACTAATTAACAAAATGGGTAAAACTGTGATAATGGCAACCCATATATTCCTCTTCTGTGTGAATAAATCAATAAAGATAAATAAATTAAGTAAGAATAGTAAACTGCAGTAAAAGCTTCGTATAATCAATAAAACCTAGTAAAAATGTAATAATATAGAGAAAATAAAAATATAAATAAATGTTGAAAACAGCATTTATTCCCTTTTGTGCTCAATAAATGAGTAAAAATTATCAATAAAGACAAAAATAAAATAATCTACTTGAAAACTAATAAAAATGGTATAAAAACTAATAAAAATCAATAAAACATGAGAAATGCGCAAAGGTTCCTCAGCGTGTGGACTGTCATTAGTGGAGAGGGCGGCCTTCCCGCACGCTGATTGGCCGAGGCTGCCGGGTGAAGCGGACGTTGATTGGTCAGTTCAAAGTCAGCTGTCAGAGGTAAATAAGGCGACCATCAAGAAGGAAAATCAAGACTACAACACCAAGTGTAAAGACGATATTTACAACGAAATATTGGACCAGACGAGGTAAATTATAGCTTAGATTATAGTTGAATTATCAGAGTATAATTGCAGAAGATTTACATTACTTGTAATTCTGTTTTAAGGGAGTAGTAAGATGTATAAGGGAGGAGGGATACTAGCAAAAAATAATAGACAAATTTTCAGTCTAAATAATATCCTAGATGATGGTAATTATAGCTTAAATTATTGGTGAATTACCCTAATATAACTTGATATAATTCTGATAACCTATAGTTGTACATTAAGGCAGAAATAAGATGTTAGTGCAATTTTATCTTATTGGTAAATGCTCGCTAGGTCGTAAACAGAGGCAGAAAAAAAAAACGAAAATCAGACCATTATACGTAAATTATCTATAATCTTCAATTATACATTGTATTATAGGTTAACATAATGAGGTAACAGATTATTTTAGTTAAGAAAAGTTTTCTACGAGGGGGAAAAATGCCTAGTTGGTCACTTTTAATTTACTTAAAATGGGTGGCTATTAAATGGTCTTTATTACATATCATAAATAACAGTTGGTCATTATACATTTATTAAAGTAAATGACTGTTGCCCATTAAATGGTATAATTTTCGTATAATTCGAGTGAAGGTAGAAGTGTTTCTTCTATTGTTTTGGTCACTGTATATTGGTGGTAGACTGTTTCGAAAAATGAAAATGCATTGCAGGGATGTGTGATGGCTGTGGACGGAGCGCTGGAGGCACCGACGCTCGTCACCAAGGACATCCCCAGCAGCTGGGGGAGAGGATCAACCTTACAATAGCCGTTAACTGCTGGCACTGTATGACCATCATATCCTGCTGTTGACTACAAGGTGAAGCCTTCAGTGGGGTTGTAGGGAAGGTTCCAGGTGGGATTATATATAGTGAGAAAAGATCCAGAGGGAACTGTATATGGTAAGAGGATCCAGGGGGGAGTGTATATGGTAAGGGTGGATCCAGGGAACAATGTACATGGTGAAGGAGGTTCCTAGGGGGACGGTATATGGTGAGAGGATCCAGCGAGGAAGGATAGTGTAGGTGATGAGTTCAGTGAGGGGGTAGTGTAGGTGGGGAGTTCAGTGGGGGGGGGTATGTGTAGGTGGGGAGTTCAGTGAGGGGGGTAGTGTAGGTTGAGAGTCGAGTGAGGTTGGGTAGTGTAGGTTGAGAGTCGAGTGAGGTTGGGTAGTGTAGGTTGAGAGTCGAGTGAGGTTGGGTAGTGTAGGTTGAGAGTCGAGTGAGGTTGGGTAGTGTAGGTTGAGAGTCGAGTGAGGTTGGGTAGTGTAGGTTGAGAGTCGAGTGAGGTTGGGTAGTGTAGGTTGAGAGTCGAGTGAGGTTGGGTAGTGTAGGTTGAGAGTCGAGTGAGGTTGGGTAGTGTAGGTTGAGAGTCGAGTGAGGTTGGGTAGTGTAGGTTGAGAGTCGAGTGAGGTTGGGTAGCGTAGGTTGAGAGTCGAGTGAGGTTGGGTAGCGTAGGTTGAGAGTCGAGTGAGGTTGGGTAGCGTAGGTTGAGAGTCGAGTGAGGTTGGGTAGCGTAGGTTGAGAGTCGAGTGAGGTTGGGTAGCGTAGGTTGAGAGTCGAGTGAGGTTGGGTAGCGTAGGTTGAGAGTCGAGTGAGGTTGGGTAGCGTAGGTTGAGAGTCGAGTGAGGTAGCGTAGGTTGAGAGTCGAGTGAGGTTGGGTAGGTGGAGAGTCGAGTGAGGGGGGGCGTTATTGCAGGTGGAGAGTCGAGTGAGGGGGGCGTTATTGCAGGTGGAGAGTCGAGTGAGGGGGGCCGTTAGTGGAGGTGGAGACTCGAGTGAGGGGGGCGTTAGTGGAGGTGGAGAGTCGAGTGAGAGGGCGTTGTGGAGGTGGAGAGTCGAGTGAGGGGGGGCGTTAGTGGAGGTGGAGAGTCGAGTGAGGGGGCGTTAGTGGAGGTGGAGAGTCGAGTGAGGGGGGCGTTAGTGGAGGTGGAGAGTCGAGTGAGGGGGGGCGTTAGTGGAGGTGGAGAGTCGAGTGAGGGGGGGCGTTAGTGGAGGTGGAGAGTCGAGTGAGGGGGGGCGTTAGTGGAGGTGGAGAGTCGAGTGAGGGGGGCGTTAGTGGAGGTGGGAGTCGAGTGAGGGGGGCGTTAGTGGAGGTGGAGAGTCGAGTGAGGGGGGGCGTTAGTGGAGGTGGAGAGTCGAGTGAGGGGGGGCGTTATGGAGGTGGAGAGTCGAGTGAGGGGGGGCGTTAGTGGAGGTGGAGAGTCGAGTGAGGGGGGGCGTTAGTGGAGGTGGAGAGTCGAGTGAGGGGGGGCGTTAGTGGAGGTGGAGAGTCGAGTGAGGGGGGGCGTTAGTGGAGGTGGAGAGTCGAGTGAGGAGGGGCGTTAGTGGAGGTGGAGAGTCGAGTGAGGGGGGCGTTAGTGGAGGTGGAGAGTCGAGTGAGGGGGGGCGTTGGTGGAGAGTCGAGTGAGGGGGGGCGTTAGTGGAGGTGGAGAGTCGAGTGAGGGGGGGCTTTGGGTGGAGAGTCGAGTGAGGTGGGGGGCGTTAGTGGAGGTGGAGAGTCGAGTGAGGGGGGGGGCGTTAGTGGAGGGGAGAGTCGAGTGAGGGGGGGGCGTTAGTGGAGGTGGAGAGTCGAGTGAGGGGGGCGTTAGTGGAGGTGGAGAGTTCGAGTGAGGGGGGCGTTAGTGGAGGTGGAGAGTCGAGTGAGGGGGGGCGTTAGTGGAGGTGGAGAGTCGAGTGAAGGGGGGCGTTAGTGGAGGTGGAGAGTCGAGTGAGGGGGGGCGTTAGTGGAGGTGGAGAGTCGAGTGAGGGGGGCGTTAGTGGAGGTGGAGAGTCGAGTGAGGGGGGGCGTTAGTGGAGAGTCGGGTGAGGGGGGGCGTTAGTGGAGAGTCGAGTGAGGGGGGGCGTTAGTGGAGAGTCGAGTGAGGGGGGGCGTTGGTGGAGAGTCGAGTGAGGGGGGGCGTTAGTGGAGGTGGAGAGTCGAGTGAGGGGGGCGTTAGTGGAGGTGGAGAGTCGAGTGAGGGGGGGCGTTAGTGGAGGTGGAGAGTCGAGTGAGGGGGGCGTTAGTGGAGGTGGAGAGTCGAGTGAGGGGGGCGTTAGTGGAGGTGGAGTGTCGAGTGAGGGGGGCGTTAGTGGAGGTGGAGAGTCGAGTGAGGGGGGGCGTTAGTGGAGGTGGAGAGTCGAGTGAGGGGGGGCGTTAGTGGAGGTGGAGAGTCGAGTGAGGGGGGGCGTTAGTGGAGGTGGAGAGTCGAGTGAGGGGGGGCGTTGGTGGAGAGTCGAGTGAGGGGGCGTTAGTGGAGAGTCGAGTGAGGGGGGGGCGTTAGTGGAGGTGGAGAGTCGAGTGAGGGGGGGGCGTTAGTGGAGGTGGAGAGTCGAGTGAGGGGGGGCGTTAGTGGAGAGTCGAGTGAGGGGGGCGTTAGTGGAGAGTCGACTGAGGGGGGGCGTTAGTGGAGAGTCGAGTGAGGGGGGCGTTAGTGGAGAGTCGAGTGATGGGGGGCGTTAGTGGAGAGTCGAGTGAGGGGGGGCGTTAGTGGAGGTGGAGAGTCGAGTGAGGGGGGCGTTAGTGGAGGTGGAGAGTCGAGTGAGGGGGCGTTGGTGGAGAGTCGAGTGAGGGGGGGCGTTGGTGGAGAGTCGATGAGGGGGGGCGTTAGTGGAGAGTCGAGTGAGGGGGGGGCGTTAGTGGAGAGTCGAGTGAGGGGGGGCGTTAGTGGAGAGTCGAGTGAGGGGGGGGGCTTTTAGTGGAGAGTCGAGTGAGGGGGGGCTGTTAGTGGAGAGTCGAGTGAGGGGGGGCGTTAGTGGAGAGTCGAGTGAGGGGGGGCGTTAGTGGAGAGTCGAGTGAGGGGGGGCGTTAGTGGAGAGGTCGAGTGAGGGGGGGCGTTAGTGGAGAGTCGAGCGAGGGGGGGGCGTTAGTGGAGAGTCGAGCGAGGGGGGGGGGCGTTAGTGGAGAGTCGAGCGAGGGGGGGGGCGTTAGTGGAGAGTCGAGCGAGGGGGGGGGGCGTTTAGTGGAGAGTCGAGCGAGGGGGGGGGCGTTAGTGGAGAGTCGAGCGAGGGGGGGGGGCGTTAGTGGAGAGTCGAGCGAGGGGGGGGGCGTTAGTGGAGAGTCGAGCGAGGGGGGGGGCGTTAGTGGAGAGTCGAGCGAGGGGGGGGGCGTTAGTGGAGAGTCGAGCGAGGGGGGGGGCGTTAGTGGAGAGTCGAGCGAGGGGGGGCGTTAGTGGAGAGTCGAGCGAGGGGGGGCGTTAGTGGAGAGTCGAGCGAGGGGGGCGTTAGTGGAGAGTCGAGCGGAGGGGGGGGCGTTAGTGGAGAGTCGAGCGAGGGGGGGGCGTTAGTGGAGAGTCGAGCGAGGGGGGGGCGTTAGTGGAGAGTCGAGCGAGGGGGGGGCGTTAGTGGAGAGTCGAGCGAGGGGGGGGCGTTAGTGGAGAGTCGAGCGAGGGGGGGGGCGTTAGTGGAGAGTCGAGCGGGGGGGGGGCGTTAGGGGAGAGTCGAGCGAGGGGGGGCGTTAGTGGAGAGTCGAGCGAGGGGGGGCGTTAGTGGAGAGTCGAGCGAGGGGGGGCGTTAGTGGAGAGTCGAGCGGGGGGGGGGCGTTAGTGGAGAGTCGAGCGAGGGGGGGAGTTAGTGGAGAGTCGAGCGAGGGGGGCGTTAGTGGAGGGTTCGAGCGAGGGGGGGCGTTAGTGGAGAGTCGAGCGAGGGGGGGCGTTAGTGGAGGGTCGAGCGAGGGGGGCGTTAGTGGAGAGTGGAGCGAGGGGGGGCGTTAGTGGAGAGTGGAGCGAGGGGGGCGTTAGTGGAGAGTGGAGCGAGGGGGGGCGTTAGTGGAGAGTGGAGCGAGGGGGGGCGTTAGTGGAGGTGGAGTCGAGTGAGATGGGTAGTGCAGGTGGCGAGTCGGGTGAGCGGGGGTTGTGGAGAAATTTTCTCCAGGAGGGGGGTATCAGCCCCCTTCAGCCTCTTTCAGCCCTATCATCCCTGAGGGGCCCAGCCCTCTTAGAAGGGGCAAGCATCTTGTTTACTGCTACAGCAAGTAATTGATCACAGATGCAGTACCAGTATACGACCTGTGGTCAAGCGACTGCCGCTCCTTGCCGTCCAGTGTTGCAGAGTGTATTTTAAGAAGAGACAGTACATCTCTTACCTTAGCAGGACAATTACGGAAAATCCTGCTCCCACTTTATTACCATAGTAAAGATAGTGGACATTGTTGTCTATGCTTAAGACAGTAAGATTTAAACATTCTGCTTTGCCTCATGGAGGAAGTGGCAAGGAAGCAAAAGTACTAGGTCAGCTTTTCTTTTGTGCTGGGGGCAGTGATGGCGTGGGGCATTGTGGCGTCTTCAGATTACTTTCGACTCTACTGAGAGTGACACTGGTACACTATGTTCCACAAGATTTGTCTTTTTTGTTCACAATCTTATCACTAAAGAAGCTGATCACACTTCTCTTAAGTGTTTATTGTGTTTTATGAGACACTTTGTTCACACTAACGCACAGATCGTTCTTTGTTGGTTATCCTGGCGTCAGTGTCACTCTCAGTCGAGTCAAAAGTAATCTGAAGACGCCACAATGCCCCACACTATCACTGCCCCCAGCACAAAAGAAAAGCTGACCTAGTACTTTTGCTTCCTTGCCACTTCCTCCATGAGGCAAAGCATAATGTTTAAATCTTACTGTCTTAAGCTTAGACAACAATGTCCATTATCTTTATTGGGCAATAAAGTGGAGCGGGTTTTAAATT